ATAAATTGCCTTCTAACCTACTAATATAACATTGATTATTATACATAGCCTACCTGATTTCCTGTTTATGATGATTGGATCTCTGCTACGAGTCAGAATGAGCTAGTCATTCAACTCTATTAAAGATATGGCACTGATCATTAATGAAGGAATAACATATTTTACGAATGGTAACATTTATGACTCGTTGATCAGAGGAATTGGTGTCAGTGTACCCGGGGCGTAAGAACAGGATTTCCTGTGGCTACAATGCTTCATCCTTACTAAACTTTACATATTAAGACGGTGATGATTATGCTTGGACAGACTTTTTTTACATAATTATTGTTTTTTGGCGATTTTTCCGGTAACACTAGAAATAAACATAAAACTTCTCAAAAACTCAATGCAGTAAACTCCAAATTTATTATTCATTCGCAAAACGGGAATGTTTGCTTCTAATTAAGTTAACTTAAAACAAAAGGGCTATAATTTAATTTTTTTCTTAATCCACGTACATCGGATAAATTAGTTTCTGATTATCAAGTCAACGCTTAACATAAAAGGACGTTATTTTTATCTTTATTAATTGAATAAAATGGAGATGTTAGCTTCTAATCATTAAGTTCACACTTTACATAAAAAGGCGCTATTTAATTTTTCTTGTGTGTATATATATATATATATATATATATATATCAATGCATTTGCTTTTTGTGGGTTACATAATCATTAAGTCAAGCCTTCTAAATAATTAAGGTAACATTGAAATTAACAAGTCATACAATAAACATATTCTACCTTCTAGTAACCACTAGATACAGATCGTCACCCGATTCTTTGACAGCATATCCTGGTTGGATCTCAACAAAGTGACACAATTCTTTGTTCAGTATGTGAAAAGAGACATACGTTAATATTATTCTGTTTCTAGGGGGATGCAGTGACTTTTTGGTAAAAAAAATGCCCTATATGAATGCAATAACTTTTTATGGTATCTATATAAATATAAAGTAATGTCCGCTGTCTGTCCATGTTAACTACTTCGCAGGGTGTGGATGGATCTTCACCAAAATTGGTATGAAGGTTCATTAGGTCCATACACATTTTTAGTTTTGTGTGTTTTTTTTCACTACTCCCCCCCCCCCCCCCCTCGATAGATCATCACCAAATCTGGCATGAAGGTTTGTTGGGTCCATGCGGAAATACATGCAAACTTACGGTTTCACATTTTGTGTTTTGCTGTTTTTATG